CGTAGATTTACATTCCATGGCATCGATACCGACTCCATTTTGAGTAAGCTACGCGAGACCTTAAAATTAGAAGAGAATTGGTTAAATTTAGATTCTTCATGTCGCAAATTAAAAGATAGCAACTTACGGTTAGGTGATGTAGATCCACAGTCGGTAACAGTAGGATTTACCTGTGATGGTTTGTCACGTAAATCTGTTTGCAAACATGCTGGTCTAATATATTCTGAATATATGATTGCATTTTTGACTCGAATCAAAGTATCATTCACTTTGGTTAGTCTCGAATGTTAAGGATAAGGATCTGCTATGTTCAAAATAATTCAATTAATTATGTCACTTTTTATACGATATATATAAATAAATGTTTAATGATTACCTTTATATCACGATTTTGTGCTCTTTTCAACATGTAAGTAGGTACAAAATCTGTTATAGTATAAAATACTTTACCTCACACACTCGGTGCGTGTGGAAAAGTAATAGTAATGTTGGAAGAAATATGGGATTTTTCACCATACTTAAACCTTAGTGGAATTCAACAGAATACCACTCTTACAAAAAATAAAAGAAATTTCTTGTGAACATTGTCAGCTCTGAAATTGAACGCTGACTACAGCATCTTGTCGACCAACCTACATTTATATCATCGAAAAATATTGATAGTGAAATGAAAGTGCACAATGTTATTGGATGCTTTTGCTCATATTGAAACGATTTAATGTCATATTTGATAAGACATTTGTTGTGTATAAAGTTAAGATTGTGTTGTTTTTTTACTCTCAATGACGCCTGACGTCCAATGATGGAACGGATGTTGAAATCTGCGAATGCCTGATAGCTTACAATGTCAAATAGATAAGGGAAAATAACAGAAGGCGATTTGGCGACGTCCTTTTCTCTGTTTTATTTGCGACAAAAAAAAAAATCTTTAATTGTTGGTAAAAACCCAGTTGATGCAATCATGATTCTTACATCACTCAAATATATAGATGATAGAGTAATTATTACTCAATGTACCATCAAATGAATTCGCAATTTAATAAAAATTTGAATGAAAGGTTTCTTTTGGCTAAAAACTCAATAGAGCAAAATAGATAAATGTTTTTAGTATCTTTTGGATCAAAATGTAAGGTTTTATTGAACAATTTGACAAAAAATATTCATTTAGTTATGGACTGCTTGACATGCATTAAATTCAATATATGACACATGCAACTAAAGCCAACAAAGCAGCGCTGAAGCTTACATTCAATTTATAAATGAACCGCTTAGAATAAAAGTAGATAATGGTAGAAAGTTAAAAAAAAAATCTCAATCATGAAGTTCTGTGAAAATAATACTCAATCAAGAAAAAATTAAAAATAAAAGTCGATCAAAAAATGAGTAAAAATAATACTCAATCAAGGGAAAAAGTGAAAATAAAAGTCGATCATAAATTATATTTTCATTTTAATCTCACTCATTTGAAAAAATTCGATCATAATATGAGTAAAAATAATACTCAATCAAGAGAAAAAGTGAAAATAAAAGTCATACATAAAATGAGTGAAAATAAAAGGCAAACACAATTTATGATCGATTTTTATTTTCACTTTGTTTCTTGATTGAGTATTATTTTCATAGCACTTTATGATTGAGATTTTTTTTAACTTCCTACCATTATCTACTTTTATTCTAAGCGGTTCAAATTAAGATTATATATTAAATTATTGTGTGAGTAGGGAATGATTTCAGAAATAAAGAGAAAAAAAAATCACTTAAAATGTTTTATTCATTTTTATCTATACTGTAAGGTCGAAAACTTCGGATACCCACCGCTAACCCCAACTTCCACACATTCCTGATTAAATTGGTTTTACATTCAAGCATTTTATGGTGAAACACATTCAATATGCTGTTTTGTGTGCCATCTACGAACGTGTAGTACAAAGCAAGAGAAAAAACATTTGAAAGTGCTTAAAAACTTAAAATGTTTTGTGTGTTCATGTCCAATGGACATTGTCCATTAAAGCAAGCACGAATGAAAAAAGCCTGTGTGTTATTCATATTAACTTAATATCGTTTACGAAGATTGATATGTTTTTTTGTCAATTGCTCTAATTGAAAATTGCGAGCAAAATGTCATGTCGCAAGTGATTTACGCCTTTTTTGTATGTATTAAGATAGAACATAACAAAGTTAAATAAAAAAGGTATAGACTTTTGTTCGGTTCTCTCGTCAAATCCATTCAGTTGTTTTATACTTGCAGTCATAAGAGCATGACTGTTCTCGTCTTATTTGATCAGAATAATTTACCAAAAGTCTCACCATTACTCTCCGTTGTTAGTACATCAGTTGGTTTCAGCAAATCGGAGGATGAAATTTTCATTTGTGATCGTTCTTCTCCTTGGTGCGAGTCTTCTTACTGAAAGTATACAAGGTAAATTAATAGGCATAATCAATATTGAAAAACTTACGAAACGGTGAAATCAACTGTCGATCAGTCTGATATAAAAGAAATATATATTTCATTTTTCGACAGAAAATTGTTTCTTCTTCAGTGCTTTCTCAGAAGATGATTTTAAGAGTAATAGAACTGTAATCATATACAATGCCATTAAATCAGGTAATTCGAATACGAATTTTTTTCCAATTATTGAAGTTAAAAAAATGCTTCTTTGACAATACTGTAAATATGAACATTTTTTTACATATTACAGAAATAATTTTTTGAAATGTATATATAATCCACAGCAGATCAAAGCGATGACTCACAAAATATCAATATCGATCTTTTTGATTGCCTTTCGCTTGACCGTTTAATAGCATTGGGTATATGCAAACGAATGGAACCAATTGTCGGCAACTATATACGAACCCATTATTCTGCCATTCAATCATTGTGTAGAGAAGATGACATTGTTACAGATGATAAAAGAATGAGACTGAACGGTTTGGCCTCTTATATGAAGAAATTTATATTCCATTATTTGGAAGTATTGCAAGAACATCCGAGTCAAACATATATGGACTTCGATCGATTCAAATGGCTGGAAGAAATTTTACTTACGCGAGTTACACTGACAGACAATGGTATTGAGCGTATTAAACCGCTTTTAGAGAAAGTACAGACATTGAAATTAAATTTTCCACATTATTTTGACAAAACGAAAGAATTTTTCGACAGTTTCTTACAATTTTGCCCAAATGTGAAGCGACTGTGCATCCAAGCTATTAGATCCGATACCATCGTTGGCAGCGATAATCGTTGGTTGCTTCGAAAGTATCCAACGCTTGAACATTTTGAGTTAGAAATAATCAATCGATCGGAACCAATTGCCGAGTTGAAGACATTTTTTGAACAAAATCTAAGCATCAAACATTTGGCACTGAATGTTGAAACGATTTTAGAAAATTCCGAAACGATTAAAAACATTCAACAAAAGTTCGATGTGTTGAGCATTTTTTTCTGTCACACAAATACATTCGAATTGGCCAGAGATGCTTTGAATAAATTGTATGGAATGGGAAAATTCAAGGAATTGCATGTGTATTTTCATGTTTTATACAATTCAATATTTGATAAAACAGCCGTTGATCAATTGAAATCGTACAATGGACTTACTAAATTATATGTACGTGGTCTGGATGATGGAGTGGATCTATCCCCTTTGATAAATTTGAAGAAATTATGTCTTGATCGGGCTTCAGATATTGAGAATATGAAGGAGCTGGCTCAAACTCTCATCAATCTTGAAACAATTCAATTTATCAGGGCCGAATTAAGAGACATTATGCCGTTCATAAAAGACTCAGTGAAATTGAATAAGATTATCATTTATAACGAAATTGATGCAAATACTTTCAAATTAACTGCATTGAACGACGCGCGAATGAAACTGACAGGAGCGAGAAAAATAACGATGTATGTCAGAGAAGACAATTACTTGACTGCAAAATGGTCAAAAACTGGCACCAAATTGAAATTCATTGAAGTGAAACGACGAGCTTCTCTGGAACTCAAGCACGATTTTGATTATAATGATTATTGGGATGAAATATTTTGAATATTTTGTTCGAATTTTTTTCATTTTTGTTTTTTCCAGAGTATCCTGATTTGCTGCTGCTCAGCATATAGCTGAGAGCTGAGAAATGCTGAGCTCGTGCGGCTAACACATACGAAACGGATGCACGATACATATTCCCCTTTCGCTTCGTATGTGCTGCCGTTGACGCTATTGCCGGTACAACGGTTACACACTATACCAGCGAACATACGAAGTGAAAGGGGAATATGCATCGTGCATCCGTTTCGTATGCGTTAGACGTACACTTTCAGAATATATGAAAGACTGAGAGCAAAAACAGCACGTCGCATCTCATCTCTTGCTTTCACTTACGTAAGCAAAATAACGAGGGATGCGACGTGATGTTTTTCTCGCAGCTTCTCATATGTCGGTCGCAACACAATTTCAAACTCAACTGGTTACTAAGTTTTGAGTTTTGAATTGAACGTCCAATCAACTGTTTATAACCGTTTAAACGGGTCGAATGCATGTGTGCGTGCCATCCGTTTCGTACGCGTTAGCCGTACGAGTTCAGCATTTCTCAGCTCTCAGCTATATGCTGAGCAGCAGCAAATCAAGATGCTCTGGTTTTTTCCAAAACAACATTAAAAGAATTGAAAGAAGAATGTTAAGAATTTCGGGTTGAATTTTATTGCTTTATTATAATGTTATATTTGGCGTGAAATATAAAGAAAAATACTTTAATTGAAAATTTATGGATTTTTATTTTGGTTTCATACGTTTTTGGAAATCATAGAGATCACAATCATTACAAATCATCACTTATCATTACGAATATTCTACGTTCAAATACCTTTCCCAATGCAGCAGATCTGATATTCAACCAACATGCTTTACATTTGAAGTGAAAATATTTTGTTTGATTTTCAATACCTGTGGGTCCCAAATCAGTAAAACGCATTTTTTTTTAATTATTTCTATATTTTCCTAAGTAATGTTCGAAAAAAGAATTCATTTTCAATCGAAAACTGGTTGTAAATAGTTTCCACAAATGGGAAAGTTCGGTGGCGGTGGTACCATATCACTTCTATTGCCAACTTTCAGAATAGATGTCATACCGGTGTGCATATGCAATTCAAAATGGCAATGAAAAAACCAGTATCCAGCATTACATGATCGAAATCGAATTTTTACATATCCACCGGCCGGCACCGTTACCGTATCCTTTATAACTGGTAATTTTTTTGAATTTTTATACGATGTTTGACCATTTAGCAATTGTTCCTGTGTTACCATTTCGATTACTTGAAATCTATGGCCATGCATATGTATTGGATGACTTACAGTCTCTGAAAACAGTTTGCTATCATTATGTTGTTTGAATCAATTGCAATCAATTTACCAAGTAAATCGTAAAAATGAAATTCATACACTTTGCACAATTCCAGTTCGATTAAATGAATGCAGTAACAAACAGAATTGATCTTACAATCTGGTGGTAAATTATCTTTATTACAGTACGTAATATCGGTGTCATCTTGTGTAAGGATCGGAAGTGGTGGCATCGTGCTTGAAATATTATTTATCGATGTGATAAAGGTAAAATTTTGATAACTTAAGAAATGCGAAGTTGAAATCGAGTCAGATCGGTCGAAATGTTTTATAAATTGAAAGGGATACACTTTGGACACAGGGTACTGCAATTCATCTCTCAAATTTTCTACGGTTGATGGAGGTGCTTTTGACTCTAAGTCGGTAATACAATAGTCTTCGGATTGTCCACATTGAGTTGTCGCATCATTTAATGTCTGAAATCGATACAACATATTTAATGATTTACACAACGATTTATCGTTTGAAAAAAAGCCACATATATACAATTTTTTCGATTTTATCCAAAATTTGATAGTCTGGTCGACTTTCCAGCGGTTCATGGTCTGAATGTCGAGGTGAAAACTCGGAAAAATCATTCAAGAAGATGATTCGAGCATATCCATGGAGTTTATTCCGCCGGCATCCACCAAGACCACGAATTATGATCAATGATTCATCTGTAAATGTAGTGTTTTCAAGAGAAAATTAAATTTATGGCAAATTAATACGTATTTAAACTCGATGTGCAAATCTCATCAAAGCTAGGCAAGTAGCAGAAAAACCATAATAACATGATTCGAAGGTTCCTTTGGAGATGAAAATAAACTCACGAATGTTTGGGTCCTTTGTTGCGTGCATGACGATATCAAATCTTTCACCAGCGGAACTAAAGAAGGTATCGACAGTGACAGGCTCCACCGGTGATCCATCAAGGGCGATAACAGCCATTTTGTGTCCCTTTATCTGATGGAGAGGAAAAAAAAATATAAAAGAAAAAAAAAGAGGGGGAGGTTGCGTTCATATGAACACCATGGATATAAGCCGTCAAAATCGTTTTTTTTTTTGAAAAATTGAAGTATTTCGAAACGCCCTAAAATTTCTCGGAAAATTGAAATATTTGATTTCACCCTTTAAAGGTTTAATACTCATGTAAATTTTGATAAAAATCGGTCCCAAAAATTGATTTGGAGCGGAGAATTTGGTTGGTCCGAAGGTACCATAAGACGGGATCATCACTTCGAGACCCACCGTCGTAACGATTAAATACGTCACTATTCAATACATACGGAAAATTCAAACTGACAATTGCTTGATGCAGCATTATCAATACGAAAACGATGTCTCATTCCTCTGACCGCATAAAATACGGCTATCGGTGCATATGGTTCGTATCCACTATCTGGTTCGATATAATTTCCAAAACCATTGATCAGTATACTGGCTGGAGAAGATCCATATTTATGTGGATTGCTCGGTAATAAATCTTCGGCCAAAAAGTTATTCCAACCGCTGAATAATATCGTATGCTCACTTAAATCAGTATCATAATATTCGGCATTCGGATCATTTTGTTCGCGAACATTTAATTTACCCACAATTCCATTCATACGATGTAAACCGGAATGTGCATGATAGTACTGTGTACCAGACTCATGTACATGGAACATATATCGAAAAGTATCGCCGGAAAATATCGGACACTGTGTTACCATTGGCACACCATCCATCCAAGGTGTTTCACTTTGATGAACACCATGCCAATGGAACGATAACTCGGTACCTGGAAATTAAATTAGGGTCCGAAATCATAAAAAAAACTCGATTAAATCCGAACATCGCACCTGGCATATGATTTGTAACATCGACAATGACTCGATCATCTTCACAGCAATTGATTGCAGGACCAGGCAGTTGTCGATTAATTGTCATTATGTTGCGCCTGACTCCATTCGCAGATATACAGCCTTCTTTGAAACAATCACCAATCACACCTGCTGCACAGTTTCCACATAGCCTATAGAGCACATTTTATAGATTTTCAGGAAAGTGTACAAAGAGTCAATTCATACCTTGACATTGTGTCATAGTGTTCTATTTTAAATTCATAATAACACGTCATTGACGTACCATTACATGGACGGTAACAACTTTTGCCATCATTAAACGTTGTACTTTCTACAATACAATTTTGAAATGGTAAAAAAGACATTTTCTGAAAATACAATTTCCAAAGGACGATTACATACCTTGACCGTATTTTTCTTTCAATTCATTTTGACTTAAAGGAACCGCACCGAAGGACAATGAAATTAGCAACTGAAAAACAATCAAAGTTGATTTCATTGCAGAAAATTTATTATAATTTTTTTTTTTTTTTTGCATGCAACAATACAAATTTATTGATAAAAACTGACGCCAAATATTTCAATTCAAGCCATTATATGCAATGAGATTTTTTGAAACACTTTAATAAAGGGGGTAGATAAAGAAATCACGATAAAACGTGTAACATTTGAATTTTAATGTAGAGTCGTGTACTTTCATAGAACATAAATGTTTGTTTTCGATTTAATACCAAGTCTTCAGGTTAAATGAAAGAAATACAAGTTCTTCGATCAACAAATTTTATTTATTTTCTCTATAAACATGACTTTTTTAACTATTTTTTTTTATTTGAATAACAAATTATTTGGATTGCAGCGTTTGAGTCAAAGAAAATCGAATGATAAAAAATATTTGCAATGATTACACACGTTCCGGTTGTTATTTCAATTGCACGGTGCACGTTTTCAGAAAGAATTAGATGTCTTGAAACAAAAAATTGGGTGAAAGAGTAAATAACTATTGAGCAGGTCACACATATCCTTATGAGGACTCTGGTTTTTTATAGTTATTTGGAATTGTGAAAAATTGAAAATTACAGATCTATTAGCATAAATTTAAGGCAAATTTAAATTTTTATGTGAATTTAAATGGAAAAATTATGTTTTTTACATTAGGTCAATGATGATTATTTAAAAAAAATAAAGAATATGATTTATAATGGATATTTCAAAACATCGGGAATTTTGCGATTTTTTATTTTAAAAATTTGAAAGTTTTGACCTCCATTGCTGGTATCATGGGTTGAGGAGTATGAAGCAAAATGCGGTATTACGTGGCGCGACAAGGCACATCGAAGAAATTGACAAAAATCATTTAAAGTCCATTTTTATTCAGCATTTGTCCCATGCGCTTGCTGTAAAAAAGATATAATCCAAATCAGTGTGAAAAAAAATATTTTTAAAAGACAACGTCGCTTACATGATTTGCTTCTCATGACACTCTGGATTGCAATATGTCATCATATTTATGATATTTCCGCATTCCAAACAAGCTGCTTTTCCGCTTTTTTCGTCCAATTCGTGTTGAAGATCGGCAATCTGGAGCTGTTGAATTTCCTTTTGTTGTTCGAGTATGTCGATTCGTTTCATCGCAGCATTCAATTTCTGATTTAGTTTAATAATCATTTCGAAACTTCTTGCATTGAAATTTGTTATATTTTGCATAGCATCATTCAAATGTTTCTTTGCTGATTGTTCGCTTGCAATTAACCAATCTACGTTTAGTTCATGGTCGTTTGCCACATTCAATGCCAAAGCCAACGGATTTGGACATACCGATGATGTTTTGACACGTTTCACCGGAGATGGTGTAAAATCATGTGCTGGTGCAAAAGCTTTTCGTCCCGCTAATTTGGAACTTTCACCAATTTTTTTGGGTGGTGTCGCCGTGTTGGATGGGCTTGGTGTCTCTGTATTAGATGGGCTTAGTGTCATCGTATTGGATATGCTTGTTGTCACCGCATTGGATATGGTTAGTGTCTTCGCATTGGACGTGCCTGATGTCGAGTTTGTGCGATCTGTGAGTGCCGATTTGTTCGACATCCTCTTGCGTTTCTTCAAATCATGTTGTATTTGTTCCTGATCCTCTTCGTCGGCAGAAACATTGTATTTTAGATTACGCGAACAATTTCGAGGATTTCGCTTGATGCTACCCGTACTGACATTGATGTCTTCACTTGTCACCACTTGGTTGTTGGCGTTTCCATTAATGTTTCTATTGTTCCGAATGTGGCTGTCGTTTTCGTCAGCATTCTGGTCATTCTTTTGTTCAAAAAATCTGTTCAACTTGGTGCGATCGATGATGTGCAAATAGTACGAAACCGGCTTATCAGTCCATGACACCGACTCGCGTAACGATGGCAACTTTTTCACATTCATTATGGCACCAATGTCACTTAGATTTCTGCAATAAAATTGAACTAGTTAGGCAAAGTGAAAACATTGAAGCGAATGAAATTTGAAAATACCTTTCATTCAATCGAAAATTGAGTTTGCAGAAGTTTTTCGATGAAAAAATTTTTGTGCCATCACTCAAGTCAGCAAAACGTTCCTTTAGGTCATGATCAACTTTTGCACCGAATGCAAAATTATTCACGAACACAATAGTGGCGGTGGTAATTTTATCACGATGTTCATCGGCCAAAAAATCACCTTTGATTAACTGAAAATCGTTCAACTTTTTACCAAACCATCGCATCCAACGGCGAAAAGTAAAGTCCATTTCGACGGCATATTTTGATGGTACGTCGGCTCGTTCAATGCCTAAACATGATTTCAATGGGAGAGCGGCCGACATTTGAAGAACCACCTGACCCACACCGGAACCCAAGTCAATGAACACGTCTTCCGGCGATGCTTCAATTAGATCGATCATCTGGCATACAACTTCGAATGATGTTTCGCCATAGACTCCAGGCGAAAATGATTCATATTTGTTCAGTTTATTCGGCTCTGGAACGGCTGTATAATAGACCAATTGAAGTATGTAGCGCAACAAATCGCGAGAGGCGAAATCATTCAAATGTTTCGCAGTCAACTCTCTAACTCTCTTTTCCTAATAACATCAACAGAAATTAATTTAAAGTCAACAAAGTTTTCTCATCGAATATTTCATCAGAAAATGTGTGCGTTAACCCTCTACTGGGACCGTCTAGAGACGAAATTTTACATAATTATATTCAGTTTATTTTAAGTGGGACACACTCCACTTTAAAATAACCATTTTGGCTCAATCGAACAATGAAACAGTAGAGGATTAAGAGAGAATCAAATTTAACTTACAATATTAGCCATAGTGTCGATCGCTTTATTGTAAGAATCGCAAACGTGGCACATACTATTGTAACATGTTGTGTCCACTTCATTCAGATCGATGGTTTTGAGTTCTGCCTCAATGTACGGAATATCTTTGCATACCTTGGGATGATCAGAAGAAAAACGTAAATAATGTAAATTAATCAACTTTCAACATGTAATGGAATGTAATTATTAATTAACCAAAGGTAATGGAAATCTATGTATACCCATCGGATTACGTCCAGAATTTCAACGCTATCATCAGGTCCAGTTTGGAGTGGCCAACTGTAATACATTGGCTCAACGTATGCCGGTGACTTGAGAATTAAACGGGGAGTAGCCGAAGTCAAAACCGGTTCCGTGAACATATACGAATCGTCACCTTCATCTTCCTCTACTTTAATTGGAGCTCTCGGCACCACTTCGACTTCGTGAGTAACCAGATTTTTTCTGCTCGATTTCATTTCAGAAATTCTCCGTTTGTCAATCGATGGTTTATTCTCAATCCCATTTATCGCTAAATTGAAAATTTAGAAAATATTCTTCAATATTTTTGGTTAGTATTGAAGGAAATGGCGTGAGTTTTATTGGAATGATAAAAAATTTATTTTGACAAAAATGGCCGCCATGAAATTTTTTTATATAAAAAATAAAATAATTTTTTTACTTACAATTTTCTTCACAATTTTTTTTGTAGCGTTTCTTTGTTTTATTTTTACCAGAAAATTAATTGATTTATTTCAGTGATAAAGAGAGAAAAGAAAATTGCGTATAGAGCAAGGAAAATCGTAGAAAATTCTGTAAAATGTGTTGTAGATGCGGAAAGGTCACCTCTGGTGATCTCGCTATACAAACTGTTGGTGCTAAAACTGGATCGATCTATGTATGCGCGAAATTTTTGGAGCACAGACTAAAACTGTGTCAATCGAAATGACCACTTTGTTCTAACTATAGCTGTATTTGTGTGTGCAAGAGTCGGTACATCTCAATGACATTTCGATCAAAGGTTTACCCAAATCAGTACAACAACGTTTTTCCATTGTCACCATTCGGGATAATTTATATTTTTGGATAAATGTTTGATGAAAACAAATTATTTTTTGAAATAATTTGGAAGGCACTTGTAATAAAATTAGCTAAAATCTACGGAAAAATCGTGTGCTCAGTTTGTTCACTTTAATTTTGGCACAACAGTATATTAAGGTCGGTTCTAGTTTCGATTCACAATGTTTTTCGCGCAATAATTTGGCATGTGTCAACCGTGTAAACATTCAACTATTATTCAATGTTTGATAGACAACATCGAACTGTGTGATTGAACTTCATCAATTTGTATGAGTGCTCGGCTCTCATCTGTGACAATTAAGTTTCTAAATTAATTATTGCTATTGAATTTTGGACCATTTTCATTTTCAAATTGCTGATAAATTCACGAAAAAGGTAAACTATTGTACAAACGATTGTGTTCGTGTTTGAAGCCATACATTTTCTATCTGAAGAAAAATAATTCCAATTGACAGCACGTGAACTGCGTCGCAATGAATGGTGAAAACAGGCTGCCACCCGACAAACAGGGGTCCGAAAATGATGGACTTTTGCCCGGAATCGAAGTGAAATCGGAGCCAACCATCAAAGAAGAAGCAGAAGATGATATACTCATGGTATCGACACCAATACAAGCTGACGATAGACCATTCAATTCAATTGGCGCTGATCAATTTGATGAAATATACGATTTCGATGGTCTTTTTCACTCGGCTGCCGGAGGTGAAAGAAGAAGCGACCAACGAAAAGGTGGAAAAGAGCATTGATTGTGGTGCTGGTGAAGATCAACAAAATGATGCGAAGAACGGATATCAGAATGTTGGAACACAAAGGGCAAATACATCAAGTCCCGGAGCTGCAACAAAGACAAAGGGGATACAACACAAATGTTCATTCTGTGACTATGCAACTCCGCGCAAAGGCGATTTGAAAAGACACATTTTCACGCATACCGGCGAAAAATCATTTCCACGCACCTTGTGTCCAAAACGATTCAATCAAAAATAACATTTTCAGAGGCACACGTCGATGAATTTCAGTTTAATTGTTCAAATTGTTTGGAAGGATTTGTCCAGAGCAATGAGAAACTGGAACATGAATCTGGGTGCAAAGTTTGTCGTTATGAATGTTTTATAT